GAATATTAAAATTTGCCAGGGGACAAATTCAGAATAAATCAGAAAGAATGATAGATTACACACCGAAAAAACTTGAAAGTTTACCCCTAACATTAAAAAGTAAGGGGAAATGGAGAACCAAATCAAACCAGGACAATGTTATGAGAATAACTTTATAAGGAATCTATAGCCAGGCAGTGGCTCACACCTTTAATCCCAGCACTAGAGTGGGGCGGGGCTTTAATCCTAACACCTGGGAGGCAGAGGCAGGCTCATAAGAATTAAATATAAAGTGATTTAAATTATAGCTGCTTGCAAAAGGCAGATGGAAATTCATAGCGAATGTCCCTTGTGATCCAAAAACAAACACTTTAAATTTGAATTTATATATAAAGAGAAAGGGAAATATATTTATCCACACATACTAAGGGAATATTTAGTTTCAAAATTTCAAAAGAATTTTTAATTGAAGAATAATTCTTTTTCTGTCACCCAAAAACATTTTTCCCTAAGAAAGATATAGCCTGCCAAAGAAAGGATCTCCCCCTCAACCCCCACAACCAAGTTAGGGTTGGGGCAGGGTTTTGCTTTTATCTTTCCAGGAGAATAAAAGCATTTAACTAAGGAATCTAAAGACAACTGTACAAGTGAAAGATCTGAAGAAAAAAAAAGGATTGATCATCAAGAGAAAATTTCCCAAGAAAAAGAGTAATTGGCCAAATGGTATTTATTGCCCACCTCCAACAGGGTAGACTTTTGCTTGTCTCTGCTGCCCTCTACAGACATAAATGAGAAATGGCCTTTATGTGATCCCAATTTAATTAAGAATTAATTGCTGGCTTTGGGGTTGGAGCATGGCTCTCTCCTTCTCTAAAACCACATATGCTTGTTAAAGGAAAATCAAAAATCTCTGTCTCACATCAGAAGAGCTATATGGTTTGGGAAGAAAGAAAAAAATAAAGTACTATTCTATTGCCACTAATCTCTGGTTTTCATTTGACTCTTTCAAACTTCTTAAGGTATAAATATTATCTCAAAATCTGTAAGATTATTATGTATATATATAAACTTTCTGACATGATGTTGGTGGTCATACAGAGTACTAATTATAGAAATAAACTTTATCTAGCTTCCTGTACATGTTCTAGGGCTTGAGTCTGAAGCAGGTAACTAGGAACTAAGTTTGTGTAGCCCGAATGTATTTAATAGATTATGTCCCTCTAACCTTTCAGAGATCTACTGAATATGGCATTTGAAATATTTAAGTTTTCTGCAGTGAACCATGACCATTTCTAGCAGTGACCTATGAGGTGTCCAAGACGATGATGGAGCCCTGCAATGAGGAATCCACTCATATTGTGGTACTGCCACTAAGCTGACAAACACCACCCAAAGATCAGTTTCAGACTACAAGCTGCTCAGGATATTCAAACCTCTAAGTTCATATGAGACCAACATGGTCATTTTACAGAACTTTGAACTCAGAAATACTTAATCCTAAAACTGCCAACCACAACAAAGCTGGACATTGTAGAAAGCTTGGCAGAAATAGTTTCATTGTTGTAAATGGTTTTACTGTGTTAGAGTTAAAACCTTTCCTATTTATTTAGACAAAAAGGGAGAAATGTTGCAGGATATTTGTCACACTGTGAACCCAGAGATTGCATTATTTACTGGAAAAATCTGCCTCTGGCTGTGGTGTGGCCCAGCCCTAGTATACAGTCTTAATCTAAGAGCTTTCTGTTTATTATAAACAGGATTAAATAAAATCAACAATTTAGGTCAAGAGGCAGAGCAAGCAGCTAGCTAATAGGAAGTAGCTATAGAGAGTAAGAGGCATCAGGAAGACAGATAGGCGCACAGGGAATAGTAGGAGGGTACTTTGAATTTGGTGGTCTTTTTTAGTTTAGGACAGTGGAAAAGAAGCTCTCTTTTTTGGGACAGGAGGAAGGTCAGCTTTCTGCTTTCTCTGCCCCTCTGAGCTAGCAGGTTTTCACCCCAGCATCAGGCTCCTGAATCCTTATTGATAAAAGGATAGAGATTTTGTTCAAAGCCACATTTGTCTCCCTACTTGGAGATGACCAGGTGACAGCTCTGGAGGTGCAGTCAGCAGCTGAGGTTCCATAAGATTAGGTGTAGCCACTGTGCTGAAGATACAAAAATAACACAAAGGCAGAGAGGGAAGATGCAAATTAACAAATTTAGAGATGAAAGGAGGAACGTAACAACAGACATGGAGGAAATCAGAGAATCATAAGGAGATACTTTAAAAACTATTTCCCAATATATAGCAACTACCAAAGTTAAATGAAAATCAGATAAGCAATTTAAATAGATTTATAACTCCTAGTACAATAGAAGCAGTCATTAAGCCTCCGTGGTGTGTGTGTGTGTGTGTGTGTGTGTGTGTGTGTGTGTGTGTGTGTGTTTTCCAGGACCAGATGGTTTCAGTACAGAATTCTACCATAACTACAAAGAAGAATTAATACAAATACTCTTCAAAATATTCTACAAAATAGAAAAGAGAAGACCATTACCCAATTCTTTTTATGAGGCCAGAGTTACACTGATACCCCAACCACATAAAGATCCAACAAAGAAAGAGAACTACAGACCAATTTCCATTATGAATGTAGATACAAAAATTCTCAATGAAATATTTGCAAACCAAAGAACACACAAAATTATCATCCACCATAATCAAGTAGACTTTATCCCTGAGTTGCAGAGATGGTTCAACATATATAAATTAAAAAAATCAATCCACATATAAACATTCTGAAACATGAGCATCTCTAAAGGTGTTTGACAAAATCTAATAACCCTAAAGCAGTGGTCCTCAACCTTCCTAATGCTGTGACCCTTTAATACAGTTCTTCATGTTGTGGTGACCCCCAACCATAAAACTATTTTTGTTGCTACTTTATAGCTTTCATTTTGCTCCTGTTATGAATTGTAATATAAATCTCTGTGTTCTCTAATAGTCTTAGGCAACCCTTGTGAAAGGGTCATTTGGCACCAAGAGAGGTCAATACTCACAGGTAGAGAACCACTGCCTTAGAAAGATTAGAGTACAAATGATATACCTCAACATAACAATGACAATTTACAGCAAGCCCACAGTAGACATCAACTTAAATGGAGGGAAACTCAAAGCATTTCCACTAAAATTATGAACAAGACAAGGTTATTCTTTCTCCATATCTACTCAAGATAGTTCTTGAAGTTTTAGCTAGAGCAATAAGGCAAGTGAAGGAGATCAAGGGCTACAAATCAGAAGGGAAGAAGTCAAAGGATCTTTATTTGCAAATGGTATGATACATAAGTAACCCTAAAAATTCCACCAGGAAACTCCTACATCAGCTAAACACTTTCAGCAAAGTATAGCTGGATACAAAATTAACTCATAAATTTTGAGCCTTCCTAGACACAAGAGACAAATAGACTGAGAAAAAAAGCAAGGAAACAAAACCTTTCATGATAGACTTGAAATATATAAAATATCTTGGAGTAATTCTAACCAAGCAAGTGAAAAACTTGAATAATAGAAACTTTTTGTTTGTTTGTTTGTTTGTTTTGTTTTGTTTTTTGGCTTTCCGAGACAGGGTTTATCTGTGTGGTTTTTGGTGCCTGTTCTGGATCTCTCTCTCTGTAGATCAGGCTGACCTTGAATTCACAGAGCTCCACCTGGCTCTGCCTCCCGAGTGCTGGGATTAAAGGCATGTGCCACCACCATCCAGTGAATGATAGAAACTTTAAGACATTGAAGGAAAAAATTGAAGAATATATGAGAAGATGGAAAGATCTCCCATGCTCTTGGATCAGTAGGATTAATATAGTAAAAATGTCCATCCTACCAAAAGCAATCTACAGATTCAATACAATCCCCATGAAAATACCAGCACAATTTTTCACTGAACTTGAAAGGATAATTTATACTTTAGAGGTCCTTTGGGTATTATGGCTTCCATTCTCTCTCTCTCTCTCTCTCTCTCTCTCTCTCTCTCTGTGTGTGTGTGTGTGTGTTTATGGGATTCCATGGGTGCAGTCTTGTGTGTCTCTTTGTCTATAAGTGTTTCTTGTGCTTTTTATCTTGCTCTACCCTGTTCCTTTGTTTTATCCTATTTCCATTTGTTTGTTTTTGTCTTATCTTCTTTTATTTTATTCCTTAGATGCCTGTTTTCTAACAGGAGACATAAAATGGTGTGGATTCAGATAGGAGGAGAGATGGGATGTGACTGGGAGGAGTTGTGGGGAGGAGAAAGCATAATTACAATATACTAAATGAAAAAATCTATTTCAAATAAAAGGAATTAAAAGAAAAATTCAAATGTGTATTTACCCTTAGTTTTTCAGAAATAAATCTATTTACCAACACTCAATTCCATAGCAGAGGAAAGCTATTCAAATCCACCTGTTTCAGGGATCCAAGAAATAGGTCCATCTTGTGTACCTTCCCACACTCAACACCAGCAGCTCACCAATTCATCCTTGACAAACCCTACCTGACAAATCCTACAGTCCCTCCTACTGCATTCCCTAAACTTCTGAAAACAGGACTTACTGTTTCAAATGTCTCAAAGCAAACAAGCAGAGTATAAAGAAAAAAGTGTCAAATATACTAAACTGATTTTCCTGTCTCTGACACACTGGTACAAGCTATTTTCTCATCCTTGAGTTCTCCTTTTATTTCTACAGGTTTCCTGTTCTATTAAGGTTTTGTTATATCTTAAAAATACTTGGGGTTGGAGAGATGCTCAGCAGTGAAGAGCACTTGCTGTTCTTGCAGAGGACTTGGGTTTGGTTCCCAATATCCACATGGCAGCTCATAAGCACCCATAACTCAAGTTCCAAAGGATTTGATGGCATCTTCTGACCCATGTGGGCACCAGGCATGCATGTAACACATGGGCATACATGTAGACAAAACACCCATATACAGAAAATAAATCTAAAAAACAATTTAAAACACTTAAAAGAATTTAAGTATAAAATCAAGATTAAGTGTGTCTGTGGCTTGCCTGTGTACAGGATGCGGCTGATCATCCCTGGCATTACCATGAAAAATATGGGCAGCAGCTTCAGGTACCCACACACTATGCAGGCAGCCTTCACATGGGACATGTTCTTGCCACATAAGCAGCGCTGTACAATGACCTGCCAGGAAAACACAATACAGTGAGTGAGACAACCAGAAAATGATGTCCAAGCTGTCTTTCAGAGTTTAAAATGGCAATAAGAAGTGATGGTGTTGGTGGAAACTAATGAGCTCTGATGGGATATTATGATTTGAAGTACTATTTAATTAATATACTATGTGGCTTCATTCCTCAAGCAGTCGTACCCCTCTCATATCATTCTGAATATGAGCAATGTGTGTAAGACTCTCGGTATATGGAAGTCAATACATGTTAGCTATAGTTAACGTGTGTTTAGACACTCATTGGGTGATGTCGCAGTGGGTAAAGCATTTGCTATGAAAGCACAAGGATTCATGTTTGGGTCCATAGAACCCACGCAAACCTGGACAGAGTGGCATCTATCTGTAATCCTAGTGCTTTTATGAATAATGGGGGACAGAGATGGGAAAACCCTCAGGAACTTGCTGGTCAGCTAGCCTGGTATATGAAGCAGTGACCAAGAGACCCAGCTGGAATGTGAAGACTGACATCTGTACTTGTCCTCTGACCTCTGTTGGGTGTACTGTGACAAGTATGAGCCTACGTTCATGAGAATGCATAGGGTGTCCAGGCTGCATTAGATAGTCCCTATTAGCAGTAATGCTGCCCTATGTTGTGTTTTAAGCTGTGAATAAATATTGTAGGCATCATCAGGATCTCCCTACTGTTATGAGGTAATTGCTTCTTTGACTAGTCATACCTGTTGCTATGGGAACACAATAATCAGGCAGTAAGTAGATCACTGAGACATCCATGTAGATTATTTTTAGAATGTTCTGAGAACACCTAGCTATGAATCATATTTAGTTATGATGATCCTCAGAGAAGAATGAATATAAATAAATTATATTCTACTGAACTTATGCAAATCTCTTGAGTTCTGTAGAAAAGCATGATGGATAAAAACAATTCCATAATGTCTTGTGTACTTCTCTTTTCTCCTCCCACCTCTTGCAGTGCTGGGGGTTCAAACCCAGGGTCTTGAATACACCAGGCAGGTGCTCGACTGCTGTGTATCCCAAGCTCCTCATAAAACTACAACTTCTTGGTATTTTCTTCTAAAACATTGTCAAAAATAGTAATTCTTTCACTTGATAATTGCCTTTAGTTAGGGTTTCTACTGTTGTGATAAAACACCACAACCAAAAGCAATCTGGAGAGAAAATTATTTATTACACCTTACAGTTTATAAGTCCATCACTAAAGGAAGCCAGGGAAGGAATCCAGGGACCTGGAGACAAGAAGTAGAGCAAAGGCCATGAAGGAGTGCTCCTCATGGCTTGCTCCTCATGGCTTGCTCATCCTGCTTTCTTAGAGCATCCAGGACCCTCAGCCCAGAGGTGGCACTGCCCACAATGAACTAGAACTTCCCACACCAATGATCGGTTAAGAAAATGCACCACAGGCCTTTCCACAGGCCAGTCTGGGGGGGCATTTTCTCAACTGAGGTTCACTCTTCTAAATTGACTCTAGCTTGTGTTGACACAAAACTATGTAGCAAAATTGACCCCTTTTCAACTTTAACACATCACTGACAGACTACAATCTTTTCTTTCTTGTTTATTGCTACGCCCACAGCTGTGACACCTGTGTAGCTGTAGCAGAGCATGCCGCTGCACTGGGGCCCAGCAGCTGAAGGGTTGAGGTTAGAGCTTCCTGGAGCAAGGCCTCAAGCAGTTCCCCCACAATCAGCAGTCGTCATGCAGCCTGAGGATTCCAGGAGGCCCTGGAGGACAAGATGGCCTTGACGACAGTCCTTGTTGGCACTAAT